ATGTATCCTAATATTGACATGATCAGGAGTTAGTCTGATGTGTCCTCATACAGACATGATCAGGAGTTAGTCTGATGTGTCCTAATATTGACATGATCAGGAGTTAGTCTGATGTGACCTAATATTGACATGATCAGAAGTTAGTCTGATGTGACCTAATACTGACATGATCAGGAGTTAGTCTGATGTGTCCTAATACTGACTTGATCAAGAGTTAGTCTGATGTGACCTAATACTGACATGATCAGGAGTTCGTCTGATCTGACCTAATACTGACATGATCAGGAGTTAGTCTGATGTGTCCTAATACTGACTTGATCAAGAGTTAGTCTGATGTGACCTAATACTGACATGATCAGGAGTTAGTCTGATGTGTCCTAATACTGACATCAGCTAGTCTGATATGGCCTTACACCAACCTCTTTACTGATGTCTGTGATGTCTACATCAAGGAACTGCAGAGCTGGTCTCATATTCTTAGACAGCAGACAAAGCTACAACAAAAACACAGATTAAAATGTTTTATATTAGTCCCACATTACGCAGATGCTTTGTGTGACTTTATACACTAATCGTGGTAATAAGCCTTCCTATGAAGTTTGAAGTTAATCTTTTGAAAAAAAAATGTTCTATTGAATAAATTCAATTCTGTAAATTACGGTCCAATTATTATCATAATGGTTATCAAACTTGTCCAAGATAATATGGTAATGAACCTTCCCATGAGGTTTGAAGATAATCCATTGGAAACTAATTGAGGTACCGAGCGAACACTGTTAAGGCAAATAATTAAGGGCCATAACTCCATACATCACGGTTAGATAATTGTGGTTATAGAACTTGTCCGAGCTTTCATGGTCATAAACCTTCCTATGAAGTTCAAAACTAATCTGTTGAAAACATTTTGGCAATTGAAAAAAGAGCCATAACTCAGTAAATAAAGGTATGATGTACTTACCTGACACAGGTCGGCATGTATGGAGGTAAGCTGAGACTCAAACAACTGGATTTTACTGATGGACTTAGTCAGAATGCTTATCCCTCTCATCGGCTGTTTTTGCTCAACCAGGTTTACTGTCAGCTTATGGCACAGATCTGAATCTGAAATGTAATCAAACAGTTCTTAACTATGGACTTTTGTGAAGTTGACGATGCAGTTATATGGACCTGAAAAAGCAATATTAACCAAGAGGAAGTCAAGGTCATTTCAGGTCCATACAACACATATTTACCAAAATAAAAGTATTCAAAAAATAATAATACATATAAATAGTATCATACTATATTAATATAGCACCCTATATAATTTGCAAAACTACTTTAAAAAGTTTCAATAGTGTTTTTCTTCAAAATGGCGCCATATTGGATTTTTGATGGACCCGAAAATAACAACACTTTGTCAGGACCATGAGTCCTTCATTCCTACAAGGTTTCAGTTAAATCGGCCCAATAGAACTTGACATTAAGTTTGAAATAATTTTTTTCAAAATGGTGGCACTGGCGGCCATATTGGATTTCTGATAGACCAGAAAAATAACAAAACTTTGTCAGGATCATGAGTTGTTTATTCCTACAAGGTTTCAGTTAAATCGGCCCATCAGAACGTGACTTAAAGTTTGAAATAAAAAAAAAATCCAAAATGACAGCATTGGCGGCCATAGGGGTTTTCTTGAGCGACCGGAAAAATAACAACACTTAGTCAAGGAGAAATCCCTTCGACAGTGTTTCAGCTTAAGTTGAAAATGTAAAATGTACAGGGATGACGCACGACACCGGACGAAGACGGATAGCAATAGGTCACTTGAGCTAAAGCTCAAGTGACCTAAAAAGGCATATACATTTTTTTTTATATCTTTCTTGAATTAGGCCATTTTATCACGCTATTATTATATCTCGTAACTACGTGACCTGCTGGACACAACACAAGGATATTTTAGACGTTTGGCCATCATCTGTAAACTAACACAAAAATTACCGGAAGTTCTACTACCTTGGTAGTAGAAGGTAAGCAGATCATTTTCAATGTGTAGCGGGACTGGACTGGGTCGATTGTTGGCGACCAGGTAGCTCAGTTGGTAGAGTGGCCGTCGAGAATTCGGAGGGTCTCGGGCCAAAGACACAGATGCTTTCACTGGCTGGTCCAACACCAAACAAGCTTTTACTTTACTTCAAAACTTTACACAATATATCATGTACCCATGGTGAGCCCCAGACAGCAGGGTTAGATATTATATGGATGGGACATTGGGATCTTTTATGAATAGAACTAGTAAAATGTGTTCACTCACACACTTGTCATAGTAAACTAATCCTCCATACCCACATAAGCAGTGAGGTGTTCCCCGTATTAGACCCTTATTTAGATATTTAGAGACTGAGGTGACCCGACACAGGTGTTCAAGGTAATTTGTGCATTATTATATTATTGCAGGCATGCAAGATAAAACTGGAATATTATTTATTCATCACTAAAAATATCCGAAAAGATTCAGTTACTGATGCTGTCCTCCTTAGTGATGTAGTACTTGTTAAGAAGAAGGGAAATGGTTCTGCACAGCAACTGACCCAAGTTCAAATAATAATAATAATAATTTGAGGTTCTTATATACCACTTTATCACAACCTAGTTCGTAGGTCGTCTCAAAGTGGTTCATAAATTATTATCCGTGGTTATAAGGCCTTTGCAACCAGCTAATATCTTTCTCAACTCCCTCAGGGTAGCATACAGCCGGTGCTGCCATTTCGGCGCTCACATCTAGCATTCAAAAATTCTAGCACTGCCCAACCACATACTCATTTACAGCTGAGTAGACTGGAACAAGCAGAGTAAAGTATCTTGCTCAAGGATACAACACAGTGCCGTGACGTGACCCGAACCCGCAACCCTTTAGTCAAATAGGTACATTAACTAAAATTAACTAAAATTAATCAATAATCAAACTTAATTAATTTATACTTATTGATATCTAACAATTTAGGTTTTAATATGTTGTAACGTAAATCAATGATTAAAAAAAGATTAAATTAATCATTAACCAATTCATAATTCAAAAGGATACGTTTTGTGTACATGTTTGTTGACAGTTTGATAACAGATAATATCACATGGTGAAGGATTTGTTTGTTCAGGGGTCCGTGGGTATTAGAACAGATTGAGATAATACTGATCTAATAGATCTGAAGTCGATCAATAATTTCATTAAGCATTACGTTCAATGTTTCTTTCTCTATTTATTTATAACATGCAATCAATGTTTTGATATTTTGGAACGCTAGCCCTTTTCATTTCTTGGCATTGTTCAAACATCCAACTGTTGGATAAGTAATGGTCTACTCATATATCAATGTTAAATACACCAATAAACAACCACTATGGCCATTCAGCCTAGCTGTTGAATGGGGAAAATATACAACTAGTAATTACACAATGGATGAATTTTTTAAATAGAAATATAAAATATTTTTTGTGTATTTGTAAATTATCTTACAATCAGATATGACAGAGCTACAAAAGTGTTTGCTAATAAATGATAAACAGAGAAAGAAACCCCATTGACAGTATGATCAAGTAAAGGAGAAAGGAAGGTCGTCGACAGTATGATCAAGTAAAGGAGAAAGAAAGGTCGTCGACAGTATGATCAAGTAAATGAGAAAGAAAGCCCATTGACAGTATGATCATGGTAAAGGAGAAAGAAAGGTCGTCGACAGTATGATCAAGTAAAGGAGAAAAGAAAGGTCGTCGACAGTATGATCAAGTAAAGGAGAAAGAAAGGTCATTGACAGTATGATCAAATAAAGGAAAAAGAAAGGTCATTGACAGTATGATCAAGTAAAGGAGAAAGAAAGGTCGTCGACAGTATGATTAAGTAAAGGAGAAAGAAAGGTCATTGACCGTATGATCAAGTAAAGGACAACGTTAAATGAATGCGTTTACAGAAATGATAATTTCACTGCATTGAAATTTCATCTGACAGTGACTACTTTTGGAAAAGAATTTGTATAAGTAAGAACTTACAACTGTCTGTGGCATACCGCACATGTTCTCCATTACAGCTGGTGATGAACTCCTGAGTTTGTACAAATAATGTCTCAAAATCAGGAATGTTTGCCATGTTGTACTTCACACATCTAGAAAAAGAAACAATTATTGTACATTTGATATAGGAAATCAACAAAAAATATCAGTATTGACAGGCTCAAATTATAAACAGGTAGACTGTATAGACAGGTAACATGACACACTGTAACAGGTTACAGACAGGTAACATGACACACTGTCACAGGTTACAGACAGGTAACATGACACACTGTAACAGGTTATAGACAGGGAACATGATTCACTGTCACAGATCATAGACAGGTATAACATGACACACTGTTACAGGTTACAGACAGGTAACATGACACAGTGTCACAGGTTACAGACAGGTAACATGACACACTGTCGCAGGTTACAGACAGGGAACATGATTCACTATCAAAGGTTACAGACAGGTAACATGACACACTGTCACAGGTTACAGACAGGTAACATGACACACTGTCACAGGTTACAGACAGGGAACATGATTCACTGTCACAGGTTACAGACAGGTAACATGACACACTGTCACAGGTTACAGGTTATTTACAAATGTATATCTAAATCACACATAGAAAACTTCCATACAGGATTCCAAGAATTCCCAGGGAATGTTGCTGAATGTCGAGTGTGGCCAACACATTGTCCAGGTGACTTGCATTCTTGGCTAGAATGTCTGCACTCTTACCAATGAACTCACACAGCTGGGCAAAGTTACCTACAAGAAAAACAAACATTTAGTCTAAATAGATCCAATCTGATTAAAATCATCTGTTACATGGCTCTGCCTGAACATCTGAATGTGCTGCGGTCAGGGTCACGTTTAAGTGACCTTTAGATGAACCAATCAGAGACGCGCTGGCAAATAGTTTGCCAGCGAATCGGAATATCATGGTTGATATATAAATAGAGACGGGTATCGAACAGATTAGTTTTCCAAAACAAATATGGCGGCGGGAACTAACGTTTCTACGACGCCAAGGAAAACGTACCCATTGGGTAATAATTGCGTAGGCAACACCGCCATACAGTCTCTAACAAAGCTTTGAATATCTTTTTCTGTTCGGGTTTCAGACGATTAATCTCAAATAACTTCAGAACTTTCGCATCATTCTCATCAATGTCCGCCATATTTGGTACAACTCTGAGCACCCTATTGAATGAGGTTCTCTGATCGGTCAAAATTTAATGAGTATTTATAAATATAAAGGTCACCTGAATGTGACCCTGACTGTGGCACACTCAGATGTTCAGGCGTAGTACGAAGTTAACGAAGCCATGTAACATATGATTTTAATCAGATTGAAATAGATCAAATATAAAACAAAATCATATAATGGACTGAGTTAGCTTTGCTTCAGATATAATACATGCGATGTACAAGTATGAAGATTTACAGCATATCACACATGTGTGCAGACATATAGCAATGTTTTTTTCAATTTCAAAAGTATTTTATTGACAATACATATATAATACAAACATATAAGTTAACATTAAAGAAGATATTAGAACAATATTGACAATATGTTTAAAAACATATAAATACTGCTTATTTTATTTGTAGACTTATAAATAAAAATTTAAACACCTGAAAGATAGCCGAATGTTACTCAGAGAATTTAGGTATTTTTAACTCTCATACCGTAAAATTGCGTGTATAGTGCGCACTTTTTTGGGTAAATATTGTCATGTCAAAAAGGGGGTGCGCACTATACGCAGGAACAAGTCATTCTTGGGTTATCGTTCTCGAGTTTCTGGTCCGCCATATTGGATTACCTCCCTTCAAATAGTTTTATTTTGAGTCGTCGGTCATATATGATAAGATTGAAGATTAAAATAACAACAAAGAATGAAATTCTTTGGCAACAAGTTTTACCTTCTCTTAAATGATTAAAATCGTTAAATCTGTGGTCATGACTGCTGATTTGGCGACAAACATTAGCTGGTCATGTAACATTTTTACAGGTATCGTCTCGTCACCGGTTTCATAGCATTATGTATTTCCGCGCAGCCATTTTATCAAGCTATATATCGTAACTACGTGACCTGCTGGACACAACACAAGGATATTTTAGACGTTTGGCCATCGTCTGTAAACTGACACAAAAAATACCGGAAGTTCGTCCGGAAAACATAAGAATTAATCACTGATTAAAAAACACGCATAAATAATGCAGTTTTGCTTAATGCACTTTTCATCTTGCTCAAAATGAACCCATACCTGAAAAAACGGGGACATATTTCATTCATGTAGTCTGACAAACGTACGAAAATGTTGTATGCAAATGAGGCCACATCTCCTCGCCGATTGTTTCCACTTCCTAAGAGCCAAGGAGACATTCTTATATCGATAAACAGTGTTTTCAATGAAACGTAAACCTTGCAATGCAATGAACTTCCAACTTTCACCAATTTTAAACAGAACAAAATGAGAAATAACTTACCATCAACCAAAACCGATTTAAGACTGCAGAAAAAATAATAACAGATTCTATATTATAACTAAATGAATGTAATAAATAAATTTATAAAATTACCTGAATTCGTTAAATTTGACATTTTGAAAAATTAATTAAAAATGTAAAATTTAAAAAAAAAAGTTTTGATAACTAATTTGACGATCAGAGATTTTTTTTTATTCAAAACGAAGCTTTTGTTCCTGCAGGTCACTATAGAGATAAAAAAAAAATAGTGTATTCGAGTTATCTTTCTTTGAACACTAAATCAAAGTAGACACACGGAAACATATGACGGCTACTTCCGATGGGAGAAATTTGCTAAAAATTGTTTGTTCGGATTTCTTTTAAATACAGTTTTGTGTTGCTAGTTTTTTTGTTTCCTTTAGTAGATTGTATACATGTTTATGACAGTAATTTCAACAGATTTCTGCCGATATGAGTACGAATTCGTGGATGCTTCTTAAGTGCGCGGAAACCCGTAACCCGAAGATAAGTTGACCGTAGGGCATAGCGTCTGATCCCGGACAATAGGCTAGGTAGGATCGCCATGCTTCAGCGAAAATTATTGACACTTCTCAACACCACATACAAATTATAATGCAGTAATTAGCTAACACTCTATCAGTGATTACTGATTAACAATAGCTCTACTGCAAATTAATTGAAATTACTTGCAGTCGCGATTGAGGGACCGTGTTGTTTTCACTCCTCAACATGTGCCGTGGCGTGAAACCCCACTGCAGACTGATTTGACCGTAAAGGGATTATAAAAAATATGTTTATACTAGAAGCGTGGACATTCAACACATCCCCTTGAAATCTACTCGAAGGAAATAAATAAAAGCAGAATACACTATTTTTATGATGCTTCATAATATTGAAATAGTTCACGAGGTTATCGATCACGTCAACATGATAGTAACCGGAAAAAAAATGCACACTAGGAGATTTGGTAAAAAAACAAACCAGAACTAGAACATGGAACGGAGCCTATAATTGAAACACTAAATTTTCGTTATTATGAGAAAACCGCTGAGATGTCGAAACATAAGTTGATCGGCGATTCTCTGGCATCGGAATTAGCTACACTTTCTTCGTTTGGTTTCTGCAGGATTCGTCAACCAAGCGGTACGGAGGGAGACCTTCATGGGCTTGTTGACTCCAATCAATCAATCGTTAATTAATTGAGCTACCTTTGACGCTACTTTTTCAGTTTGATATTGTTTCCTTTTAGGATTTTTTTCCCCAAAAAAATAATAATTTTATTTTCATTTTTGTTTTCAAATCTGACCCCAAAAACGTACATGCACACTTTACCCGAGTGCGCACTATACCTGCAAATTTACTGAAATTGTTTTCAATTCGACTGATTTTCTTCAGAGGTACCACGTTCTTCTACTTTATTGTATTGAATGAAATATTTGTGAATACAGCATATAAATATAGCATTCAGGCATCCTGGACTGTTAATAATATCCAATGTACAGTACATTAGTTAGCTGCCGATCGACAAGTTAATCCCCAACGCTCGGCCGGCCTGCCCCCTGCGATTTTGCCCCGGTGATTTCTCCAAGGGGCTTTATTCCCCTTCACCTCAGCGGCGACTGTCGCCCTCCCAGGATTTCAGTACCAAATCACCTGAAGCTACTGCACATAAAATGGGTTCCAGCTTGTTTCGCCCGAAATCCCGTTCCCCCCAGTTGTTTCGCGCTAGGTTGTTTCACCCTTAAACAATAATAATAGGGCGAAACATTGTTTTGGTATTTTCTTTTATTTGTTTTATGTCACAAATTAAGTCTTCTTAGTCTTCCATATCATTAAAATAAATTTCATAAAAAAGTATTTGTCTTGTTTGTAAGCAAGTGTGACAAACGGCAGCTGTGAAAAGCTGACTCCGCTCTCACATACTCTATATGAAATATACCTAACACCAATGTAGAAAGTCATCAATAAGTTTAGTTGATATATTCAGATATTAATTATTATATAAGCGTATAAATTTAAAAAATATATTTCGGGCGAAACAACCCTAAGCGTGAACGGGATTTAGGGCTATAAACACCCTGTTACCCATAAAATGAAACAGTTCAATTATGCAAGTGTAATACCTGTATATGATAATAAATACATGTGTAATACTACTACATGTCTGTGATATTAAATATAAATGTAATACTTATTTTTGATAATCAACAGAAAAGTGTTCTACTTTCGTTTTCAAATAGATGCAACAAAACTAGAGAATAATTTCCATTAAAAAATGCTTTCACTTTAATATATTTAATAATAAACACTTTAACCTGTTTGTGTCTTCATTGAAAGCGTAATACATGAACTGCAGCCGGTAATTTTCATTCGGAGCAAAATACGAAACTAAAACAAAATTTGTGTATAAAGGGAAATAACTCGAGAGTACACATTTGACTGATTCTGCACCAAATCACATATTTCCCGATAAGAAATGAAAGATAGAAGTAAAACTAGAAAATGTCTATAAGACATAAATGCCCCTGCTGCCATGTGAAATTAGTTTCAGTGTTCTATAAAAAGTTACAACCACTTTGATCTTGATACCCTGAAACATGCACACACACAAGGTACTACACAAAAAGTTGATTTTAATATTCATATGTTTTTTCTGTATGCTATTACCATCTCCATAACATATTGAATGAAGTTGCTAAGTGTTTAAATTGAATCAGTAGATGATTTTCTTTATATATAGCAACAGTGACCTTGGCCTTGACCTTGGAACCCTGAAACACAAGAATGTCAGATAAGTGTTTTCATTGAATCGGGACGGGACGATTTTCTATAAATAGCAAGTGTGACCAAAAATCTGTCAAAGAATGAAGTTGCTAAGTGTTTACATTGAATAGGGACGGGACGGGACGGACATGGGTAACACTATATGCCCCCCCCCCCCCCCCATTTAATGGCGGGGGCATTAAAACTTCAACAAAGGTGACATTTCACAGTAATATTGGGTTCATAACTGGGTCGTAGGGGGTACTATTGGGTCCTAGCGCATATATAGTCACAGCATTTCGGTGATGTTTTCTGCACCAAATCGCAAATTTCCCGATAAGATGTGACATATACATAATGTAGAAGTTAATAACTTCAACAAATGTGATATTTTACAGTAATAAAGAAGTATTTGGTTCATAAATGGGTGGTATGGGGTATTATTGGGTGGTATGGGGTAGTATTGGGTGGTATTGGGTAGTATTGGGTGGTATGGGGTAGTATTGGG